CCCCCCCCCCCCCCCCACCCCTCGCGCACAATTGATGTCCTACATCTTGAATGTATCGATTGGAAGGACCTGAACGTGGCGGTTGTTCTCGTGAACCAGTGCATGTCAGACCCCGGGGCGATGGCCATGTTCGCCACCGTCAAGCCAGTAGGGGGGCATGTCCTAGCCCACGCTAGCACGACTAGGGTGCACCTCAAGAAGGGCAGGGTAAGCCGGGTATTCCTATTTTGTTTGCTGCATCGCAAGGTTTGGTTGTTGGCCAACCGAACTTGTCATGTACGTCGTTCGGTACTATGGTTGTTGTTGACGCGGCGTTGTTTTTTCGGAAAGTTTGTGGTGGTGATGGTGGATAAGGTAGCTTCAAGAACATGGTTCGTGTTGGTGATGTGATCACGTGGTATATGAGGTGTTTTTTCAGCGTTGGCTGATTCTGTGCGATGCTGCAGGTGCTAGTGGCATCGTAGTACAGAGTTCTTATGAAACAAGTACCAATCTTCCCCCTCCTCTATGTAGGTCAACATCATGAGGATTGCGAAGCTGTTCGTCTGACCCGCCACCCACCCAAGAAGCAAAGATGAATGCATACCCTGAGTGTCGACACAGCTGAAGTTGCCTTCGAACCCCAAGATGATTGATGGTGGGAAATGCTATTTTCATCTCTTGTCCAACCTTTGCCGACAACCAACGATGTGCGCCTTGATGTTATGATCAGTAAATCACCCGTAATTTTGGGTGAGGTGCTGTCCATCTTGATTCACGTTGTTCACCGGGCTGCCGTTTCGTAGGTAGAAACGAAATGTTTCGCTGAAGCTTCCCTCGCGTCCGTCGTGTTGCCGGCTTGACGTCGAAATCCCGTCGCCAGGGTGAAGAGCGGGTTGCGAAGCTGTTCGACAGCCCGAGCATGCCGGAGGCAGAATGCCCCTTCAAGATTACCAACGGGGGCATCACGGACACCGACTGATCGTACATCCTGCCGCGTTCGCTTCTTTGTTTTCTAGACTGCTCTTCCTGCAATTGTAGAGTTGCTTAGTGCCCACTACTTTAGACATCCACACACAAAATACATCATGATTCGTTTGTTTATTGCCGTTGTTTCATTGACGGGTAGGCCGATCGTTTCGCGGACATTGCACTTCTTCGCGTCTGTGTTGGTTTGGACATGATGCCCTAACGATAGTGTACATATTACCTTTCTTCCGTGGATTGTGGCTGTTGGTTTTGCAGACGAGATTGCCATTGTTGCCAGCTTTGACGGTTGTTTGTCGGTGCCTTTCGCATGCAGCATAGACTTCAGGTTTGTCTGATTCGTATCCCACTACGCGTGCCATGGCGACGCCCTCTTGTCTTGTTACCCAAACCTCGGCGTCACAAAATACTGTTTCATTTTTGCGTGGTCAACCTTGTGGTGCGCATTGGCTGGAGTCGATGGCGCAAGGCGGTCTACTATTATTGTCGGCCTGGAGGCATTTCATTTATTTAGCTATTGAAGAACGTCTATTTCGAGTCGGACGTCTCACGGCAGGTGCGCCAATAGCCAGGAGACCAGTTCCTGGTTTTCATCGCAGGACACCAATGTGTATTGTCGTTTAATTCTTACGTTGGTCCCTCGTCCTAATACTCTCTGTGGTCGTGGAATATACAGCACCGAGATTTTCGAGCTAAGAAGGTCTCGATCGGCGCATGCATAAGGCGAACGCCGAAGTCCATCGTCTCTGCGTGAATGCCATGCTCCGGATGGAAACCTTCCTAGATCCAAAGGGGGGCTCTTTTTACTTTATGCTCTTTGCATAGAACCATAGTAACCCACCATCGACAATCATAGCGGCAAAGCGATTGTAATAGAAGGACCCCTCCCTCCATATTTGGTGCGGCTCCTCGCGGGAGTGAATGATAGTTGTTACAGATGCCGTTCGTAGTTTGCAACACCTATCTCTTGAATCACTTCAGAATGGGTCGAGTCGCGAGAAACAAGTCCGCCGACATCGTGGACGAACGGCTGTTGCAATGCCTCCGAGTGACGGCCGAGGGGGACAACGTACGCAAGGAGCGCAGTGTTGTTGTGCGCGATCAGTCGGGTTGTTCCTGGGTTAGACTACGCCTTCGTTTGTGTCTACGTTGCTTTCTTCAATGTAGAGGAAATCCCGGAGCAAGCTTACGTAGGCTTACGTAGGTGCGATCCACAGCAAGACGTTTCCAGCCTCACAAGTACAGCTGTGGAATGGCGTGGGGAGCAGTGGGCCAAATCTGGCGATCACACGCTGACCAAGGAGCCCCACGTAGTCTCTTTGAAGATATCGGGCGTGCCCCTCAAAACCGTTATGGATAGTCTACACCGAGCAATCAATCATTTCTTCCTACAGATGGATGTATTACGCATGCATGTGCCGTTCAAGCCGTCACAATCCTCTGCCCCACATATACTGGCGTACATGCTATTGGCGTGGTAAGCCCTCTGTGTCTTAGTTCGACCTCTCACTCTGTCGCGCAGACAATGAAGGCGATTCAATCTTCAGACAAGTTCTCCCGTGCGATTGGCGCTGACCCGAAACGTGGAATGTGAATCTCGCCGAATGTGGAGCGACGTCAGTCCATTGTCTTCGTACATCATCATCTCAATCTAGGTGGTAGCCTCGCAATCCTACTGCAGTACTAGTAGCAGAATATCTCTCGGAAGATCTGCAATCCTTCGAAACAATTTTCATCCGAATACCACAAAGGAGGGACTGCTGACCCTTGTTGCTTTGAAATTCGAATGCAAGCACAGCATGGGCCTAACTTGGGAAAAGATCCGTACAAGAAAAAGGACATCCGTGTGGTCCCTTCCTCCTGTACGACCCCGACTCATAGGCCAAATAACCGGGAAGGTGTAGTTGTGTTCGCACCAGAAAAAAATGGAAACACACACAAACACTCCGGCTACGCGACCTTGAAAGGTTCATGTCATATTCATCTTTCATTCCGTTCCATCGTTGATGCTGCCTGCCCATCAAACCTGCCGGCCTCTACCCGATATCCGGTAAATTTGTCAGGACAATGACGAACTCCATCCCATAACAGACAGGTGAACACGGGGTGTCGATGTACAAAGGGAAGCACAGACGTCTACACAGCACTACCCTACGCACACGGATGATGGGTACACTGCGCTGATCTCCGAGTTACTATACCCGATAGCGCTGATTCGCGGTTCCTCTACCGAAAGGAGGGTCTCGGTTGGGTACGAGCGGCGGGATTAAATCTGGTCATCATATCGACCGCGCTTTGATAACGCGTACGTCGCGACGATGCATGGAAAACGTCGACCTCGAGAATGAAAAAAGGGTGTCAACGAGCTACTGTTGCACACCACTACACTTCACGGCACTGCGCTGCGCGACACGCAGGACAGTGCTTGCACGGGCACGGTCCAGAAAGAGAGAAAATGTTCAACTGCCGACGGGACACTGCCCACAACGCCTACTCCCAACCCCCAACCCCCGCCCCCACGACACGCCTCTATCCCTCTGGTACGCCCCCCCCCCTTTCGATGTGAATCTTCTTAGACTTTAGAAAGCGTACGTCTGACAAGGTGGGAAAACATTCTCTCTCGGAGGAAGTCCAGTGAGGTGTAGATTTCGCCCGCATCGGATGAATATCTGTACAAGCAAAGCATGGTAGCCACGCGCAAGGGTTCCAATCTCACGGCAGGGAATCACACCCAGGGGGGGTGTTCCGTCTGCCCCAAAACGCTGTCGTCAAACGTGTAGACCGATCCCCGTGCACACCTTCACGCGCAACACACGAATGCCTGGCCGCCTCCTCCCGACGAAATGAACCCACAGCAAGCCCTGACCCCGAAAACGAGCAACACTCAGTGGTGACGGTGACGCACGTTAGTGGGTACCCCCCCCTTTCCCTTCGGCCTTACACGCTTAGGCCTCACAATATTCCCTCCCCGAAACTCGGTCTTGACAGCACAATCGTTGCGTTCGGGAACCTTACATCCACCCCCAGGGGGTAATGAAGGTTTGGGGCTCTCCCTCTGTGCTGCTCGGTGACAATGGGCGCGAGTCTAAGCTACTAACATACGTCATGTTTCTTAGGTGTACTATTTGTACGTGAGAATTGATTTCATACCCAAGCACAGCGACTCCCCAGTCCCATTATGCAACGTCCACTTCCACTGCATCCCTTCCCCATCCCTCCCTTTTTTCCTTTATTTTTCCGACCCCAAACATCACGCCCCCCAACCTCAATCCAACCTTGTTACTAGTACAAGCAAACGATACACGCATGCACACACCGTGACCACTTCAACGCATAAATCAACGCCGTGGGAAGCACATGGTTACCCATACGTGAGGATCCAACAAGCATCAAGTGAGCATGCCCGTTACTCCGACAAGCCTCGCCCCTGCAACAAAAACTAGGTATTTTCACTTCACTATCAGCAGAACAAAAACTGCAACGCGCGCCGGTGATTTCGCACGCAAAAAACACAACAGTAGCACACGCTCCAAGCACAAAAGGGACAAATGGCAGCACACATACGAAGCGAGCAGCGTCAAGCTGAAGTCACGTGACACTGTTGTCTCAATTCACAGCCGTTCGGTCTGGGAGGGAGCAAGGCAAAACGAAACAAGAATCACCATCATGTCTCAAGGGGCAGCTTCGAGAGGTGGGTCAGGACATACCAAGGCATACATGCCAACCGCTGTAGCTGTTTCGGCCTCTCGAAGACATCCCCCATTTATCGGCTACTCCCCCTTGCCCCCTCCTCCGCCTTTTCGATCGGTAGACTACCACCCCACCGATTCGTAATGACTTCTTGAAGCCCAACTCGCCTCGCCACCCATTTCAGGAGCAGTAGCTTGTTTTGGTCGAACCTCACCGACAAACAAATAACACACGAACCCCAAAAGCCCCAAAAATTAAAAACAATCAAAACCTAGAAAAACCTAACTTAGAAAAACCTGTGAAGTCCATTTTCCGTACGAGGTGCAAACGTCACTGACGCAGCGCGGACGGGAGTTTCCTATCCAAGACAGCTTGCGGCAGATACTGCGGCTACTGGTCAGACTCGACAAGAAATCAGAACCAGATTTCGCAAACGACGTGCGCTGGTTTGCGTCGCGTGCTGCCGCAGTCCCGCCGACGCATGCTCGACCTGCTGTCGGCATGCACAGAAAGGAACGCCACGAAAAATGCTACTCGCTTATCCCCCCAATCATCTACTTCGCTACACCTAACGCCGCTTAACGAATGCCGACACGAGTAGTTCGGAGACGACATGCTTGTTCTCTAAGGCTCATCGCGCAGACAAGGTACAGTAACTTCCACCTCAAGAGTAGATAGATCGACTCAACAGTGAGGGGTTGTGTCTCCCCCGCAGTTTATTTACTGACACACGGCATCGTATAATGGGGAATACTTTCAGGGCTGGGAGGGGGCTTTTCAACTCAGGGCCACAATGTACATATGCAACACCGGGAAAAGCTTTAGCGTAAACGGCAATAAACCTTAAAATCTTGCCTGGATCCGGAGACGCGGGATTGCCCGCTCCCCCGACCAAACTTTGAAGAATCTTTCTCACAACGACGGAAACTCTAGGATAGCGGGAGGGGAAATGGTCGATCTTTTCCGCTCACTGGTATATGCACATGTCTATTGTACACCCATCCACACCGCCGTTACGCCTAACGTATTGCAATACACAACCCGAAAGCCTCGCCAGCATTTTTCCACGCGCAAAATGTGTACTTGTACATGGCAGTCAACGTTGATCGTTTGCCGGTATACACCCCCTCCCCCCGCCCCACCTAGTAAAAAAGGTCAACAATTATCCAGCAAGAAAAAAACAACATACAACTGCACCGCAACAAACGGAAACTTCCCACGCAGCCAGCAGCAAAGCGTCCACGACTTAGAACGGCCCCCCTCGGCCCTTCTTGCGTGCGTGTTGGGGTTGAGCGTCGAAATCCGGCATTGGCGGACAAACACCGAGACGCCTTCGCTGCCGGAAAGTGACGCATTCACCACACCAATAAAGTTGCTCAAATCTTTATCATTCCCCCCTCTCGTACATCCTTCCCCCTCGTGGATGGGAAAGGTTGGTTCTCCCTGCCCACTTCCCCGCCCCCCGAAATATCTACATACCCCCTCGAGCTGCCCCGCCTGGGCCACGACGAGACCCCAGCTTCACACCGGACAGGAAAGCACCCTGTCCCCCCCCCCTCCCCCTCCGGATATACTCAACGGGCAGCCCCTGGGTGTGCGTGCTAACAGTTGAGGGTCTAGCGGGAGCCCCGGAGACTGTCCCAAACAATACCGGTGTCAGCTTCAGCACCAGCATCCCCCCTCGGCCACAGCGTCAGCTGTAGCCCACCGACAGTGCCTAGGACCCTCCTCTAGCCCTCCTCCCTAATCACTACGGACACATTTCTTCCACAGAGAGACTGGGAGGTTTAAAGATAGCGGGAGGAAATACACTATCGCACCGGCTCAAGAATATGCGAGAAAACACTTTGCCGTTCCCTACCTCTGTTGGTGGATCACAGTCCCGAGCTTTTGGCTCTCCTGAACTGGCTTCTGAACCTTCAACCCTAGATTCCGAGGAGACGCGACGTTGACGCTCCAGTAACGCGTGTAGGGTAAAAAAAAAATGAAATAATGCCGTGCGTGGAAACGGCTTTCGCACGGGACGTTCCGCGAACCTCAGTTGTTTTTCTTGGAGCGGGCCATGGTGAACACATGCCCCAGTTCTGGGGTCGTGGAATGGTGCTGAAACCTGAAACACGTTGTTTTAATGGTGGGGTGTATTGTGTGGCAACGTTAGACGAGAGGAATGGGGGCGTTTCAGATGTCCGTGGTGTTGCCGCCAACGGTAACGATGTAATGTGGGGCGGGCGTGCGCATCATCAGATATGGAGAGGAAAAAAAGAGAGGGGCGAATATTGCAAGAGAATGGAGAGAGGGCGAGCGAGCACGAGATAAGACAAAACATACAGAGAAAGAGAGGGAGAGAAACGAGGCGAGGCGAGCCGGCCGTGGAGAAACGGATGACGTGCGGGGGCGACCTGCGTGCGAGGATGATGTGACAACGGGGGGGGCGGTTGTGTAGACGGGGTGGACAAGCATTATCCCAATCTTCGGGGAACCTCGGCGAACTTTCGAAAGTAGTACTCGAAGTCACGACAAGAAAAAACATGTCGCCGACTGTCCCAACCGTGCCGAACGTTAACTGTTCCACCATTTCACGCGTTGGCTAGTACGCAGCCAAGCACTCTTCGATGCTACTACTGATAGTTGGTTCCCATGGTGCACGTGGGTCCCACGCTTTCCCGAACGGCACCGCACCTTCTTGTGTCATTTTGTGAGTCGTTCTTCGTAGCTTAAAGGGCTGTCCTACGATACGGCTCTCCTTCATCTAAACTGCCCGACAATAAACAGAACCTTCAGCTGGCCGTGCACTCAAAGCCCCCGACGCAGGGATAACAACCATCGCAACGGAAGCGAAGGAGAATGTACCGAATAATGTGTACTCAGTCAACCGCGACAGGTTCCATCAGAAAAACGCCTCCATTGGTGCAAAATATTAGGTCAACAAAAGCTAGAAAAAGGCACGCAAGGTACTGCGGGGCAAAGAAAAAGGTAAATGAAAACGCGACACACCTGCTGTTGGAGAAGAGGATCTTCCGGACGGATGACTTCCACACCGGGGTCTTGCGGACATCGCTGTGCTCGGGTAGGACGCGAACCGCAACAACGAGCCGAAAGCCGACACGAGAGAGTGAACCGAAAACCACAGGTCAGTATGTGCGAAGCAGAACACATCCAGTGTCAGTGAAAACGCACACAAACCAGGCGCAAATAACATCTATAACAAAACCATATTTTGGTGGATCAGGCCATTTTAGTTGGAAGCCTGCGGAATTCCATGTTGCAAAGTTCCACATTGATGGGCGGTTGCTTTAGCGTCGTCATATCGCGTACGTACCTCTCGAGCTTCCAGTTTAGATACTCGGAGAACTGCCGCTCGATGATATCGCAGATCTGCGTGAAGGCGCCCTTTCCGTTCTCCACCTTGCCTAGCGCGTGGGCGATCATGTCTGCGTAGGTGGCGCCGCCCTTCTTGCTACCCCCCTGCAAAAGCAAAAACGAAGGCAGACAAGAACAAGACGATACGGTGCGCGTCACATGCACTGGCAGCTGGCGATGGGGTGGCGTGTGTGCCTGTACGTAGATGTAACCGAAGGTGCTTTCCGGCCTGAACAAACCCTAGAAAACGAAATTTTTTATGTCTCGGCTACGCGTTTGCCACCGATATCGGGTGCCCTCAGTTGGTGCGCATCGTGCTACGTAGGTCTACAGCTCTCGAAAGAAACACTTCAACACATGTGCAAAGTACCCGCACCAAAAAATCTCTATCATGTTTGGCCGAGGGTGGGGTTCTTACAGTAGTTCCTCTTGGGGTCCATATATGGTCCATTGATAGATAATAGTGTAAGGGGACCTTAACACCGGGCTCGAAAATGGCGCTGAAGGCCTCATGTTTGATACAGTCTTGAGCCTTGAGTTTTTTGCACTGCCAACTTCGAAAACCGCGGGTGCTATCTGTACCGCACAACTCGGCACGATACATTTTTGCGTCCGACATGGTCCAAGGAAGCTTGTGCCTTTTCTGCCCACCTGCTGGTCCCTGTTGCCGTTGCTCGCCCTTCCTCCGCCCCCTCCGACGGCGCTGCTGCCGCCCGATGCCCTCGAGGCTAACGATGCAGCTCCCCCCATGAGGTGGCTCCCCGCCGCGGACCCCCCTGTACACGTTCGAATCATCACCACACGTCAGCAGATGAATTCTAGCAATCAAACCGCGGGAGAGTGCGGTATTGTGTGGCTGCTGAACGCGTACGCTGGGAGCATCGAAACACGCTGCTGTGGCCTGCGTACAAACGTGGATGGTTGCAGCGCTGGATCCGTTTGGTGCTGCTTGCGCACTCTCGTCTCCCGATCCGTTATAAGGGCCGACGTATCGCAAAACAACATCGCTGGGTCCCACATACGTGACGACGGGTAGTCGAAACCATGGCATTCTTCCAGGAGTAGAAGGAGGACTGCGGGTGCTAAGTCACAAGTCGTCGTCAGGTGGCCAACAACACCGTCAATATCACCAACGACGACGGCGACGACAGCGACAAAATAACAAACGACAACAACCGCAGCAGAAATAAACACCACAATAAACAACCAAACAATAGCACAAGCACGAACACCGCCGTCGGTGGCGGCTACAACGGCAATCAAGGGTCGACACCTACACATGCCAACGGCGGCGTGCAGCAAACTTACCTCCGTACTCGTTTCTGACACGGGGAGACGTGGAACGTGACCGATGGGAGCCGGTAGCCCGACCGGAAACGCTAGACCTTACGCTCTGCGAAACGCGTCAAGCAATCGAGATGTTTCTCCGATGAGATACGGTATTCTGCTGGGACTGCACCACGCGAACGACTCGAGCCTGACCCGACGACCGCATGCGGGGCAGCTTTTTCTTGGCTGTTTATCTTGCGCTACACTCAATGTCATGCGCGCTGGGTGTTAGGCTGCGGTGAGTCACACGGATATGATTCACCTTCCCCCCTCTCCACGAGCCCAGCATTAACATCGTCTCCGACAGTGGGCGACCACAATCTTGCTATGGACAAAGGGCGGGTGATGTTTCAGTGATGGTGACACGAAGGGGAGCCGCTAGAAGAAGAATCACTGTAGTTTCGTGCACAAACTCCTCTGTTGTGTACTTCGGTGGTCCGGAAGAAGGTCCTCTTCGCATCCCCGCACCATAAGCGTCTTTTTTCGTCCCTTCTTCTGAGGACTACATTGTCTCAATTCGTTTGCTAATGCGAGGACACAAGAAATGCCACTCTCAATCACAGATAGTGCCATTGGAGTATCTCACCCTTTCGCTCCGGCCAGTGCCGCCGCCATTGCTGCGCCCACCCACCCCGGCCCCAGCCGCGTAGCCGTGGCGGTTCGCGTGCCCCCCGTCGTCTTCGATCATAACGTGCTCCACGGGAATGCGGCGGTATTGACGCCCCCCGTTAGCGTCTTCGTCGTCCTCGAAGTAAACCAACAGCACCTTTGGACATTCAACAAACAATCGGACAGAAGAAAGACGTATGCATGCTGTAGCATAACACACAAAATAAACCCTACAGAAGTCTCCCCCGCTGATACCCATATCGGGATCGGTGTTGTCGCTTGGCGGCGACCTTGTGAAATACGCCGGTCGCTTTGTGAGCTCGACAACCAGGATACCGCTTTTCTTTTGCGTTCGTTTTTTTTTGCGGCAACCGTGTTGGTCGGATAGATCATGCTTTGCGGGGTCGATAACCGTCACTCCGCGCAAAAGGGACGATCGCATCACGTTGTTTTAATTTGTAAACCAGACTTGACGTAATTACGCGCAGTGGTTCGAAATGTCTCTGGAAGTGAAAGCGCCAGGAATGAAATCAAGTCATTGGCAGCTGTCATACCTATGCAAGGAACTGTGCACAAGATACCGAACGCCCAGAGCAGGATGCAGGGTACGCTCCATGCGACTCCCCGAATACCTCGCGGTGCTTCGCGCTTGGTGATGTGAGAGCCTGGTCCGATGACAACCCGGCGTGCTCCGTCCCGCCTTTGTAGGGATGCGAGGTCAATGGTCTAACGACTACGGCATGCCCCCCCCCCCTCTCTCTCTATGTGGTTGTTCATCTACTTCCAGGATGGCTTTCATTATTAATCCGTGCGCACCAAGAGAGGGCGGCTCAGTGAGCTCTCCAAGTCTCATCGTCGTGTTACAAGGGACAACCAATGGCAAATGTATGCTTCTTTATAACGCCCGCCTTTTCTCCGTCCACTGCTGCGGTAGCTTCGATCACTTCCAAGCGGACAGAATGTCGACACACCACCGGGGGCGATGGGACCATTCAGGATCAGATAGGTATGCTCGGCGAACAGTCTTCAGGCCATGTATGCCTTCTTCTCGCATCCAACGCAAGTCGCGAGGCGGGCAAGTCGAGGCTGCATCACCCGGGGTAGGTAACGCCTCTCCCGTCTAAACGATACACGGTGCCCTTTTCGCCGTGACACGCACCACAATGCGGTCTCTCCACACACAAAAAAAATACGTTCCCACCTCTATGGTATCCAGCACCGCCTGTGTCGCTCCCTTCACGAAATTTAATCCCACTTGTGTTCACAAGCGTAACGCGTGCAGCCGTACACACATTCGCCAAACAACACAAGCATGCATGCCAAACGTTCAAGGGGTGCTAGATCGAGTGGGCAGTCGTTGAACGTACGCCAAGGATGGACACCATGCAGAAGTCGATATCGGTTTCGGCGAGGGGATCCCGTGGGCGGAACCTTGGACGACCAAACACGAAAGCGCAACGTCCCGCCCAACCCCACCCGCCCTGCAGGGATTGACAAATATTGCACGCCCACCTTGGTGTTGCCATCCATGCGAGGCGAGTCCTTGGCGACCGTCGCGCAGTAGAAGATGGTCGTGTCCGGAAACACCGCCAAGACCCTGTCGTGCTGAGTGTTGAGCGGAACCGACATTATCAGGGAGGACGACGACAACGGCAGGGCGGGCAAAGTGGGAACGAGAATCAGGAAGCGTTCGGCCTCAACGCCATTAACCGACAAGGAGAGAGGAGAACCAAAACGAGAACGACAAGGGGGGTGGGGGAACGCAGCGCGATTGATCATCAGAAAGGGTTCAACGCCAGGTGGTGGCGAAGAGATGAGATGACGACGCGAACGACACGCGACGAGAAGAACGCCGTGGGACCGACCGGTTGCGGGACCACAAGGAAGGATGCGAGTTGGGGGGGAAAGGATCGAAGTAGTCAACATCAACCACATCAACCAAATTTTGGCAGGGATATACCCTGCGCTCTGCGGCACCTCTAGACATGCCGCCTTCATTTCCGGGCCAACATCGACAATGGGATGTACATCGATCGGCCTTGACAACAATGCTGTACCTGTCAAACCAGCCACCATTTGAGGTTGGCCAAAGGGACAAAAACAAAAATCGAATCCCCCTTCACCACCCATCCGTGGCCCTCTCTCTCACGCACACACCTTCGAACCTTCCTGTGCAGCCTCGTTTCATGTCACAAGAAAAACTGAGAAAACTACATTTACCCTCTTCCATCCAGAGCCTCGGACTCCCTAACCTTAATCATGAGGCAAAAGATATTCGGTTGTTGCTCTTCTATGCAGGTGCAAAATGTTTGCTCTCCACTCTCTCATCGGCGCAGCACCAAGCACAATGAACAAGCATGCGCGCAGCTCACACAGGCTGCTCTGTGACGCACGGTTGGTCGAAGCCCTCCTCATCTCAAGCAGCAGCGCTGTTATCCCCCTCTGTATCGCGTGAATTATTTGTCCTCTCCTTCTCTCTCCACCTCTCTCTCTCTCTCACACACACACACAACACATACACACACACCTTGCCCAGGTCCGAAGACAAGTCTTCCAGGTGCCTGACTTCGCTGATAGGTAGTTCGAAGACGTGAGAGGCGTCGTCTTCGTCGTGGAGCTCCACCTGCTTTCATCGTTCGTAATGCCCGAGGCGCATATTCTGAATGAATTCGATGTATTGTACTTAGTAGTTCGATGCTGATATTCATTTTTGTAATAATTTCGCGTGAGTCTTGCAACACGAGAACCGAAAGGGCTAAACCACAGCATGATGCGAAATTCAAGTATCCCGACACCTTGTTGAGAAATACTCGCATACTCTATTGTTGATTTAACATAATTAGACTCGTATCAGGCCGGCCAACAAGCGGACAAAGCACCACATCCAAAATACGTGGAAACGACTGTTACACGCACCCGTGCACTCTATGGAATAGCAAAAAATAGGTGTGTACGTTGGTCACAAGGGCATGTGTCGCGACAAGCGTCGAGCATCGAAGGGACTCGCAAGAAAAGTTCGCCATGGCGAACCACGGCCACAAAATTTCAATAGGGATGCAATGGCTGTCGCTTCGTTCAAGGCTTGTGTGAGCACAAACCACAACGTCTCTCCGACACTGCGCAGTACGTTTGCGGCCGGTATGAATATCGGCAAATCGCATGCTCTGAGTGAGTACCGATGCTGCTGCTCTCGTTCTTGGTGGTGCTGGCAGTGGTTGTGTTACGTTCGAGGTGATGAATGTTGTTGCTTCTGTGGTCGGTATCGTGGGTGGAATGACGCTGCTCCTGTCAGCTGACACGAAATGGGAGTTCGTGCCATCTCTCTCGCTACCTTGCCGTATCCCTTGTGCTGAACGACGCGAGCAAGGATCCACGCGCCCGAGACGTAGGCAGCAACCTGCAACAACGAGAGGGATAGAGGGGTGCGGAGGGTTAGAGAGAGAGAAGCACAGACACAGACACACAGACAGACACACAGACAGACAGGAAAATCATTGAGGAAGAGCGAGAGGCAGAAGCAGCCAGCAGAAACAAAGGGAGAAGAGGCGAAGCACGACAACAACGTAGACATGTTCAATACTGGGCACCATCAACGTGTCAATACAACCAACAAGAACGCGGTGGAACCATCCGGAGCAGTCGACCATCTGTCCGACTGGGGCGTACAGAGGTACAACCATTTGTCTTCCAGCTAGCCGGCCTGAACACAGGGAGCCATAGCCTTGTTGCTGCTCCTGCTATTGCTTCTGGAATATTTGCATCGAGAAGGCCTTGTCTCAACCACCGCCGCCTTCCACCACATGCCTGACTAGTCTCGTTGGCCACAGCGACGTAAACGTACCACAACAGTCAAGACAATCCATAACGATAACGAGCGGACGACAGTGGCACCCCTCCCGGTGAATCATTCTACACAAGCCATTATGATGCGCACAACCATGCATGGCAGCCACAAAAGCATGGCGACATCGGCACCAGTGTAACGACCTCCACACCAAACAAATCAAGCTCGCAAACATCCAGCCAACATTCTTTGACCCCTCCCCCCCCAAAAAAAAAAACAAGAGTCTCGTCTCTCCCCACCTGCTCGGCGGTGTCGAAGACAAAAGACCTGTGGCTGAACAAAGAAAAAGAAGCCGCGCCCTGCGCGAGGAGGCCAAGAGCCCCGTCGCCACCCCGTCTGTCACTAGTGCGGTCTCTAGCACCGCCTCCACCGTTGCTCTTCGCGGCGCCCCCCCGGTTTCTGCTGCGCGGGGGGCTGCGGGGGTTGGAGGAGCTCTTGTGGTGGGGGGGGTCTCCCCGGCTACCGCGGCCGATGCTGGCGGCAGCGGCGTTGGCCAGGCCGAGAAGCTCTGGGGAGGGGGGCACGATGTTGAGATCTCGGTCTAGAGAGTCGAGGCGCTTTCGCTTGTTGTTCTCGGCGTCGCCGATGGTGCGGGTCGGGGTGCCGATGGTGGAGGAGGCCAGGCCTTGGCAGAAGCTGCGCATGATGGACTCTTCGTTGATGCGCCACGCGGCGAAGTGCCTGCGCGTGTTGTGGTCGGGGCGGTTTGATTCAATCAGTGGGGAACCTTTTTTTTTTCTCGCCTGATGTTGGGGTGTAGTGTGGATATCCTGGCTTGAGGAATAGTAGGGGATATCGGATAGGGACGGCGTGAACACCGCTGGTGTGGTATTGGTGAAAAAGTTAGCATGACTACAAGTAGCCCTTTTCTATCGTTTATTTTACTTTTTCGTGCACACATTGCAATCACTCAAAGGAGCTGGGTGTAGAAAAAAACCTTATATGCGAAAACACGCGCCTCTCGAGTTCACGGTCGATGGCGGCAAAGGAAGGATGATCCCTCGCGATAAAACTATGGCAGTATATAGAAGGTTGGAGCAAAACTATGCTACAGCAGTAGAGTATTAGAGGGAAATACTGGATTATAGTCTGGGGCATAAAAACAAAGCAAAAAACAAACAAAAAAAAATTAAAAGCTCATGCGCGACCCCGGCCTTTCGTCAGAAGTGTGACCACCGCGTGTGGAATAACGCCGCAAATACATTAGACAGCCACACATTCATGTAGATATTTCAGGGTGGTTAATTTCGCCGAGAATTTTTCGTCGCGAAATTTTGTTGAATGCGCACTGCTGTTTTCGGGCGAAGAGCTCGCCAACCAAGGAGGAGGAGGAACTGCTGTATCTAGCAATCGGGTTATGGACGACTACTACAGAAGACGGCAATACCAGAGCACTAGTCATGGGACAGTTGACGTAAACCTTGCTAATGCGAGAGGGCGAACCGGGCGACAGCGGTAATGTGGAGGGTCGTTGATCACATGCATTGAAATTTGATTTATTGGAGAAAATACTGTACACTCTAAAACCAGCAAGTCTGGCGTGCCAGCGGCGGGCAGGTCAAAAACGGGGGACCGATGTCATGCGCCCACCTAGCTGTTGCGATGGCGAGTTCTTCGTGAGTGCTGTCCGGGCGAACATGGAGGTCGTGGTGGGCTGTGTACGTCAGCAAGGTGCTCGTCTGTGGTGTTGTTGTTCCCATGTATCATCGAGAAGATGATGATGGATGATGAGATTGCAATGGTTGATTTGACGGTCGCACATAGAACAATCCGGGGCAGGGTCAAATTTCTCATCAATGATTGCAACAGGGTTGAGTGCTGCTGCTGCTGCAGCAGCTCCGGAGTAGCCTTCCCAGAGTAGAAGGCGACTAGCAAGGGATCGGGATTGCTGCGAGCGGTCGCTGGCTTCCCTGCGTGCCCACCGTCGCCCAGGCAAATACACACGCAAATACAAAAAATGAACGCTTCAACTGGGAACACGAGATACAACATCATCTCGACATGTGATACACAAATCCATGTCACTTGTCTACGTATCACGCACACCCAATACCAAAGAGAGAGACACACACACGCACCGGGAGCCTCCTGAAGTCCACCTTCAACCGCTTCGGGTAGGTCTCCCTCCTGTTGAACGGGAAGTAAGGGCCACGAGACTCGTCTACGACGTGCTCTTGCATGCTGTTGCTGCTGCTGCTGCTTGATTGCACAAGGCAGAACGAGTACGTGTCGTTGGTAAAGTTGAACTCGCTCTCCCTCAACCTTGGCGCAGCCGCAGTCCCTGCCGCTGCCTGTGTCAAACCACGCAGGCACGCCTGTGGATTCGGGGTAGAAAACCTCCAAGCTTTTTCCTCGTCGCGCGAGCTGTGACTGCGCTTCTGTCTTGGCGGGGTGCAACCTGGAAACAAACTTGGAGAGTGCAACCTGTGCTATCAAACGTTCTCCGCCAAAACTCCGCACCGCATCCAGAACGTTCCCAAATGTCTCGGCTAGCGTGCCTGCCGTGCTGCGCTCGCGGCTGACGTAATGCTCCAAGGGTGATGTTGGCTTTCCTGCGTGTTTTGTCGAAGCGGTGCTTCCCTCTGCGTGCCTCTAGTGCCGCTGCACCGTGTGTGCACGAGCACACCTTGGAGACAGCACTGAATACCAGTACACATGAAAGCCTGCGAGGTTTCCACTTGCCCGCACGCGAAAAAGACGTTACATTTTCTCGTCGACAAGGTCGGACATAATGGCCCTTGATCATGGCATAGCCGCCGCCTTTGGATAGAGAAGGTCGAGGCTAGCCGTCAAGCCATCGTAGGAGGAGGGCGAGGATAGTCGGATCCCACGGACATGGACCCAAGGCACCAACGTAGGCTTAGAGATAGAGGCTTAGAGATAGAGGCTCAGAGATAGAGCCTTAGAGATAGATGCATCCCCATGCCACGGACGGAACGTCCCAAACGGAGAACAATGGGCCAGGGAGTGCTGCGGCGATCGATGACAAGCGGGCCTCAACCGGGAGGCAGCACAGGATTTCTAGGATACGAGCCACGTTGGTCGAGGTATGAATAGCGATCCGAACGGCGAAGCAGTGGTACAAGTGCAGGTGTAATAAGGTCATGGTATAGACCATGTAGAAGCTGAGCCCGTGTATGCGACGCCTCGTTAATGTTTGGAACTCGGTGCACAGCGGCGGCATTTTTCGTCCCGCGGCATGATACCGAGAGCTACCCAACCTTTGCAGCTACGGCCCCTGGGAAGTCCATCTGCTGACCTGTTAAAATAGGGCATAGCTTATTGACTCGTTTAATATTTGCCGTGGCGTAGCATCTACTTGTACGTATCTGTTTGGCGGGCGTAGTGCCGATACAGCAACAAGGTGAAGTAGACTGAGTGGAAGGACCTCATTCCATAGCAGCGCGTGGCATTGTATGGTCGACGTGTGACCACACTATGTAGGAGAGTACATTGGCAGCTTGTACCCTCAGGCAGTCTGAAGAGCATACACCAGTAGATTGGTCTAACCAAGCATCGGAGCCTCGTACGATGCCTTCACACACGACTATATTCTATGTCTGACTGTATGAACTGTCATCCACTACAGACTAACGTGGAGCCTGTCGAGGAGATATGATGACTGTCATGTGCGTATTACCGGCTGAAAAACAACGTGATTCGACTACAGTTAGAGGAAGATCTACAACAGCAAGGAAAGCTTTGTAAGCTAATATTATTGAGGAAATTGGAAAGAGAGATAACAGCATATGTACAGTTTGACAAGACCGTTCGAGGATGGGGCACCAAATAAAGAACACCATTGTTCAAACACACGGCGACACAGTCAATCACAGCGTGTAAGTGTGCAACATGCCGAATAAACGGGCACCACCGCCACAACAATCGTGAGTACCGAGAACCCGTAGTAACCATTCTTTGCCCCAGCACTACACTCGCACGGCATTGGAAGCGCCAACCTTGTTGGATCGTAGGGATGAAACGGGCACCTTTCAGGAAGGAGGGGAGGTATCTCTTCTCGCTCTTTTTCTGTTTACTCCTCAATATCACGTGTCTACCATCAAGTGTAGGCAAAGCTACTCTACGTTCTGTACGTGGTGCATGATGCGCAGCAGCAACAACCAGTGTATTTCATTTTCCTGCACCACCCGCTTTGTTCGGCTCCCAAGAACCCACTTCGGAGAACGCACGGTACCGCCGGGGAGATCTCGGTGTCGATCACGGTAGTGCAAACGTACACAGCTCACTCACAGGAATGCCTTGTCTCTCGCTCTCGCTGATGCCTCGCGGGGGTAACACGGAATCCGACCCACCAGCCAATCGCACAGGCGAAGCAGGATCGCTTGGCGGTGACCCGACGCGTGGCGCTCTCGCGTGTGCTATCGGTATTTCTCGTGACGTCGACGACGGCGTCATGCCTTCTGCTACAGCGAAGCGGGCTTGTGAACCTTGCCCTGGGGAGGGTCAGCGTGGCGATCATAGGCCTCTTATGGTTCATGACCACATTTACACAGGTGCGATCGTCATTTCGAGTTGACGATTATTCGGCAGAGTATGTCACACAACGCGCGGTGATCGCGTCGACTTTTCTCCCAACGCCCTCGTAACGCTATTATTAATAGTTTTTGCAGTCTGAAGCTCGTCTATTTGCAGAATCTGTACCCTAGACGTTACATTCGTTGAAGACAGAAACCCCCTGGGGTCCCGAAGGTCATCGAGTCTGCGGCTGTCACCAACTCCGGGCGGCATGAATTGATAACCCCCCAAACTCAACTGACACGGCAAGAGGGGGGCATGCCGAGGGTGCTCATGGCAGACTACAGGGCTTCTCTGTGTGCCCAGGATATTCCAAATCTCGGGGAAGGGGCCGTTCTTTTGAGATAGAAGCTACGGTGTACCATGGCAATATCCAAGACTCGTGGTTTCCAGTCCCGACGATTGCTGCGTGGAAAGTCCGCCAGTTGTGGCGAATTTCGGTTTGGTCAAGCGTACCTCTGAGGCTTGTCATGGCACGGGGTGGCGCTGGGGCAAAACGTTATCCTTTCAGCGTACTGCACCCACGGGATTTCTTCCGCACGCTGCCAACCCGAATGACCGCTCGGTCCTTCAGCTGACACTCGGTCTGTGTGCCCACCCCCAACCTGTCGTCCTTGCTGGTGAAGACGTTCATGCGAGATACTCGGAGAGCTTGCAACGGGATATCTCTGCTTTGCTTTATAGTCTGGTCGCTTTCTCACATCATGTGGCGTGGGATGTCCTCGGAAGCGGAGAGCGCAGGTACCAGCGGAAGCGGGGTCGAGGGGGGTGACGCCGCTGGTACTCCAGCGTGGGCTTGGGTGGATGTTGGCATTGCGTGGGCGATAGCGCCGGCGGCGGGGGGGAGCCTGCAGCTGAGCTTGTGGGGATCCATCGTACCGAGCTGGCTGTGCGTAACAGTGGCCTTGGCGTACGGGTTGCGAGCGGAGGAGGTACGTGCGGGTAGGGTAAAGACAGAAGAGCGTATTGATGAAGGAAAGGGAGGTTGGCTTCGCATGGTGGAAGGTCACGACTGGAGGAACCTGCCATCGCACCTCCTGGAGGTTGTTGTTTGCATGTTTTACAGCCGTGGCTGTCGTCTATCGTCACGTTGTGCACGATGCTACACACCCAGCGTCCATGGTTCTCGGCAACGGAGGGGCAACAATATCTGGTCTTTTCAGAATTTCCAACCTCGTCATTCCTATCGCAAGACATACGTCCTGCCTTTGGGTATGTCATGCTCGGATAGTCGAGGTCTGGGTTGCCCCGGCCTGTTGATATGGTACGGTATGTGTCTGCTGCCTACACGACACTGAACGAGAGTGTCGTACCACTGAAGATGGTGCCGTCGCTCAACGGATGGGTCGTTGTCTTTGTGCTTTGAAGGATGAGCCTACATATGGTTCAAAGTCGTGCTTGCCTTCCCAGCAAGGAAAAATGTCCTTGACTGCTACGCTAGATTCGAGCATGCTTTGTACGATGGGGGGTGCGCAGCGGTTGACGGCAAAACAGATGGCATGAGATGAGAACCCGAACAATATGACAATTTCGGGGTCTGGCAGCAGTGCAGAGATTGGCCTTGAAACACGGCAAAATGGATGGCGACGACGCATCGGATCCTTCGCGCGTGCGTTCGCTCTCGGCATACGCTGTCTTCATCGTGTGGTACCCAGATCCATGGAAGCGAAACAAATCACGTGAAACCAAAATGTGAAACACGGCAGGTTGCTTTGGACGGGGACGGAGCCGACGGTGCCCTGATACTGTTTGCGTCTCTGGTCGTGTGCGGGTTGTCCGCATTAGCCGTTGGCTATCAGGTGAACTCACGCATGAGGCGAACGGGGGGGTGGGAACAGGAGCGCTTCCAGAAGTATGACCAAATGAAAATAGCTTTCCAACGACGGTGGGAATGGAGTGGCTAGTTGACGGATACTATCCATCCATGCTTCGGTCATTTATCGAAAGATATTTTTCGCATAGGATTCTCTCCACCTTCGGGTGAGTCGATTCTCCGCCCAACGATTCAACTCCTTACAAATTAGTTTGTGTTCTAGTTAGGAACTCATGGTCTCTGGCCAGTAGGTCTAGAAGCGATCATTTACATCCTAAAAACTACGACTGCTTATTCAGAAGGTTGACGAGGCTGAATCTACGATGCAGGCCGTAAGGACGAAGATCACGGGCCTCCCACTATTAGTATTTTGGGGGGTTCTATCATCGGAGAGTTCAGAGTCGCTCGCAGTACCTATCTGCCCCCACCGTATATCGTCTCTTTCAACTGAAGCACTCGGGTGCGGGGCTAGACCACCAAACTGTGAGAACGGACGGCGTTTGGAGCACTATAGGAAAAACTTAGGCCTCTTGCCCCTCACTTCTGACTTGAAACGCCCACTAAATAGGTGCTGTGGGAACAAGCACGGGATGCGAGAACGCTGATGGCTTTAGAAGACAGCATAGACTTCGAGGACCACAGGAGACGCCAAGCGGCCTTCTCAGAGCTTCTCCTTAGGCACCTGGTGACAGGTAGTTACGATGGTCTTAGGCCCGATGCCCCCTAGGCCGGATGCCCCCGCCGAGCATCGGGTGCACCTCTGTCGATTCCCCTTGAGCAATCCGAATGGGTCCCATTGGCTGCAATCGACCCGTCCCCGCCCCTCGCCTCACCGATAGGCGCAATTTTTCCACGCGTTTCTCTTGGAGGCTACGGAGGCTGTAGTACCCTCGCTTGCTTCCTACCGGGGAGGAGAGAAACCGTCACACGACCCGCCTGTAAACGATACTGCCGTAGAGCAATCGCTTCCGCATTCGTGAGGCGTGCGTGAAGTGCACATTTAGAACGCTTGAAGAGAAGGTAGTCTGCACTGAAGGACACCAGTGGACCTTGTTTCTGGGATATCGTCCTTGATATTCTGCAACATCGTTTGGGGTTCGCCTGCGAGAGGCAAGGACCGGGTCTCCTTCTCCCTTGAACCTTATTCCTATGGGAGGAGTTACTTAGTCCTCGCAAAACCCTAAGATAACCAAACAACAACAGCAACAGTAGCAGCTTGAACACCGTCGGCCTACATCTGCTCTGAGCCACTCGGACATGACTCATTCCACGCAGCTTAGCAAACACAGGAGACATTCCAACATTCTCCTCTGGCTGTGACAGTATTGCCGCCTTTTGGTAGAATATCATCGCTATGAACTTGCAAAAACATCTTGAGAAAAGACCGCCCATTCGATTGCGCGAGGCAAGCGACAAGAAAGTTACTCTCACGTCTTTCCCATACTATCTCCAAGTGGGTCCGATTGATCGAACTGCTCCCACTCTTCTCTAAGTTGACGGCGCATCGGCGTCGAGTATCGACGGCGGTCAGATCTTCATGGGGCGTACGAAGAGTACGCCCTTGATTGCTTCTGGCAGGAGCGCCCCCAGATCAAGTGTTGCGACCGTGTAGTGTATTGAACCCGTCTCGCAATCGGTTCCTGGTTGGACAATGCTCAACATGCGTGCAAAATCCGCGGTTGGACATTTTTCGGTGCTTTCGCCCTGGACGTTTTGTGTACCCTGGGCGTTGTCTACCCGACGTTCTCCCTGCCGGCTTTGAGGGGATGCGTGCATCATCATGCGCGTTCCCCTTTGAAGGGGACGATACCGCCACTCCGCTTGCCAAATGAAAGCAAACATGTTTGTGGTTATTCCCCGTTGATGCACGCACCGTTTCCTCCATCGCTTCCTTCGGCCTCCCGATCCTTGTGTGCAGAGCCATCGCTTCACGTGCTCGAGGCAGGGGTGAAGGAGCTGTTCAAAGACGCTAGAATTTTCGTCCTGCATAGCGACGCCCTGGAGCAGATCCAGGACGGGGTTAGCCTGCTCGCGGAGTACGGGGAGAAGGCGCTCAGCGGATTGAAGTGAGGGTTGCTGCTGTCGTTGTTGCTGTAGGTGTTTCTGCTGCCGACGCCGGTGCTGGTGCTGCTCGTGTTGTCGTCGTTATCATCGCTACCATCGTTCTGATCTCTTCGCACTCTTCCAAAGTCTTGTCGCATGAGGCCGTGTTGAGCTCATACGACACAGAGACGAGACTTGTGAAAACAGAACGACCAACAACGACAACAGAAAGAGAAAGATAGTGCTTTGGCTTGATCCTTTCATAGAGCCTATAACGTCGAACCAATCGTATTGTTCCCCCACGCACACAACTTCGCTATCTGAAGTCGGCAGTGGCATGAGTATGTGGTACCATGACGCTGCATGGTTCCATTCAGATTCGCATGTTTCTTGTCCTCATTTGAAAAGGATCGCTCGTCATCCCCACACCCCTCGCCTGCCACTCCTTTGCCGTGCGCGGCTGCTTGACGTTCACCGGCATACGTACAACACGTGTACAAATGCCGCACTGCCCTCCGCTACGTTCGTGCCATATCATAGGAACGGGGCCTCTGAGCTGCCGACCCCCGTCCTTGAGAAGGCGGACATGGAAGAAATCCTCGACGCCTGCCTGCGGACTACAGCTTACCTGGCCGTTTCAAGAGATCACCACAAGGTGTGCGCGTAGATGCGCGAGGTCCACATTCGTCGCCGCCCTCCCCGTTCTCTGTTTTTCTCTCTCTCTCTTTGGCTCTCTCTCTCTCTCTCCCATTTTCGCGTGCGCTTGATTTCTCTCTTCAGTAGCAGCACGAGCACAATTCATACTGCGCTATGAGTGAAATGTCACATTTTCTGTGTACCATCTGCAGCTTCGGAAGTAAAAGTATGGGTGTGGTATCGATCGGTAGTCTTCTGCACGTCTGAAGAGTCTGGAAACAGGGACGGCAGGGTTGTGTTCAACGTGACATATTGGTGTAACCACACTACTGCCTAACCCAAACCCCGGATGGGGAGGATTGTACTATCCCTATGCACAACGGTCACGTCCGTCGTTTGCTGGTTCCTCCTGACGTAGGTCCAGCTGGATTTGAGAGTGGCTGCCAACGTTGACAAGAGCGTCAAGATCTACCGCTTGTGGCTTAGCCAGGTACGCGTCAAGACTACCCGGAGATCTGTGCAAATGAATCACTGTTTTTTGTTGTTTTTGGTGGTGTCGTGACACACCACCCCCTTTGATTCGCACACGAATCGCTTTTGTTTTGTTGGTTTCGGTAGTTTCATGACTCAACCGCCCCTCGGAGACTATCTCATTCGTTTTCCTTCTCGGTGTTCGCGTTCTTCGAGCAGAACCTCGTGCTTGCCCGGCCCGCGTCAACTCCCTAGTGGACCAGAGAGCGTTGCCATTAGAACATCCCATCCACACACGCAGATGCCGACCGGAACCGCCCCCCCCCCTAGAACTCGCGTGGGTGCTCAGCGAGATCGTTCGCCCGCCCTCTTCCGGGATTTCTTCGTTTCGAGCAGATGACGCGGGCGTGCTTGATCCACGCACTCCACCCCGACGAGGACGATAGCGTTATCCTCAGGGTTTCCTACGCAAGGCCGGGGTTAATGAGGGTTGGGATAGAAGCGGTTTGGAGAGTCGCGGGGTCAAGGACAGGGAGCGGGGGCTCCTGGGGTGATGGAACTTCTGCGGATCACCGGGAAGCGCCGAGGGTGCTGTCTGGGTGGGATCGAGACATGCCAGCGGTAAGTCGAAAACTATTTGGCATCAATCACTTGCCGTCGGCTGTTGCACACGCCGACAACTGGGTCTGTCGCTTTTAAATTCGGTCAAGGTGTCGGTGCTTACATGGAAGTACTTTGCAGTTTGCGTCGCTTCCTGCTCTATTGGACGGGTTTTTTTTTCGTGTGGTGAATCTGACCGTCCATTTTGGACACAGAACCACAAGTCTCCGGGAATTCGGTACTTTGGGCAATTGCTCCTTGCGCCATCATTGTTTGTTATCTTCGTCGTGTTGCTGTTGCTGTTGCTACTGCTGCTGCTGCTGCTGCTACTGGAGTCGAATCGTAGGTACCGTGCGTAAACAAACCAACGGTAGTCTTCCTGTCCCGACTGGAATGACACGAGGGAGAGTCGCAAGGCGTGAATCATGAGCGTTCACCACGGTTCTAGTCTGACACACCTTCAGTAGGCCTTCACTATGACCTGACTGACCGCATGCTCGTCCGTATTCTTGTTGAGACCGTGGCGAAAAGAGAAGCAGCCATTCCCGTCCCTGTTTGGCTCAATGTACAGCAGACGAAGCACAACCTGTGACACTTGTCCATAGCAATAAAAGGGGAGAAAGGCATGCCTACACAGCGTGATCATTGGCCCTTACACCATGCATAAAGGAAAAAGCCCCCTGTGTCGCCTTCGTCCTGTGTGCCCTGGCCGATGCGTCCAGAAAACGTCTAGAAAGGCATATGGACTGACGTCCACAATCAATGGGAACTAAAATTGTAAATACAAAGCGTCCCTCACTCACGCATGATAGAAGTCCATCCGTTTGATCCTCATCAAGCGGCGTGTTTTCAGGTGTTCCGTTTCTATTCGCTGCTCATAGTTCGACCAAAGAAATCCGTCGCATGTGGGCAGTGTGGGATTTGTTGGCTGGCGACTCCTAACTTGCTTTGGCTTGTTGCCTGAATTTTAACAATTCTCGATTACTGTACTTCGAAGCATACAGAACCTTGCGTCCTACCCGACCGTATCTCGTTGACGACCTCTTGATTCTAGGGATGTGTGGTAGCTGTGGGTGGTTCATTCGTGCAACGGATCTGACTGTGGAGGAAGAGGAGGCTCCAGTTAGAAACAACACACATTGGCATTTCGTTGCGCTTGTTAAGGGTCTGTCGCCGTTCTCTCACTGTACCCCAACCAACCCAACTCATGGAAAATCCTCACGATTGCAGTGGAGACTTGACGAGCTTCAGTCAAGATCTCTTATTCTATTGTTTTTTTCTCCTGCTCTTTCTCTCTCTCTACTTTTCGGTTCATTTCTCTCTCTTCCCTCCCTCTTGATCTCTCTCCCCCTCTCTCCGCACCAACCCTTGCCTTCATCGACGATCGCCTGCTGTTTTCTCGAATACGGACACCAACAACCAGGCTGTGTGGTGGGTTCGCGCGGCGGCTCTAGCCCTGGGGGGCGAGGCTGACTACGACAGGTCCAGAGACAGGGAGGGGTTCCACGAGCTCTGGTTTACCATTCCGGCAGAAAACGTCCCCGACGACGATGATCTTGAGCTCGAAACCCCCGCCGGTGCACGAGATACAGCCACGGCCGCCGCCGCCGCTGCTGTTACCGGTGGTGGAGGACCGCCGGCTGAGCTACCAGACACGGGAGCATCATCGATGCTTTCTACCGGCGGGAGCAGTACTTCCGGCAGGAAACGCTCCTCTCGTCTCAGCGAGATCGACAAGCGGGGAGAAGGAGGCGGTTCGTCGACGACTGCGGGAGCGGACGAAGAGAGAGGGGGGCTTGACATGACGGCGCCGAGGGCGGCCCGCCGCGAGTCGAGTCGAAAACCAACGCTCGAACCTATATCGTCAGCACCCAAGACAGGTGAGATGTTCCGCGTGCTGTGAACTTCGAGTGGTTTTACCCGACAATGTTTCTAAGGCGCCGGTCATGGTATTTCGGCTCCAAGCGTATCTTGATCTTATGGTGAAAGCGGGATCAGGTTTCTATGTTCTCAGAACGAAAGGGAAATTATTTTCACACAAGAGCAGCGACAATTTTCATGCCAGTCACACGCCGATGTTGGCAACGCCTCATCAAGAAACGTCGGTCGTTCCAAAAATGTCCTTCGCTGTTCCTATGCCCACGCCCCCCGTGCTGCACGCAATCCATTGTTGTGGATCATCCAAAACCAAACCAAACCAAACCAAACCAAACCAAACCAAACCAAACCAAACCAAACCAAACCAAATCAAGGTGCTGGAGACAATGCGGCACTCCCTCCGGAGTGAGTGGTCTGACTATTTCTATTTTCTTGTCTGTTCGCGCTTCTCAGGAGATGACCCCCGAACCGGGCTCGAGCCACTCGCAACGACTACTAGTAGCTCCTATTCCGAGAAACAATCGTGGAATGCCATGTGATGTCTGGCTTGTTCCATGTGTTATCTTCGTACGCTACTCTTCGCGAACGTGTGATCGTGATGAACGAGGCCCTTTGATTCATGCCTCCGATGGGACATATATTTCGCAAACCGTGTTGAGAATTGAAGCAGACGACCTCGATAATAGTCGTCTTTCTGGTGACGTTGTGGCTTGGCGCAACAGAAGGCGAAAACGCACGGTACGCAGCCCACCCGTAGCCACAATGCGATACACACGGGACGGGTGCACGTTCTTTATCGGGTTTGCGACAGGAAATGAATAGCCGTCTTCACACTTAATGGGCTCTCAGCACGGGATCGATCAACCACCCTCATTCGTACTGCCGCCAACGCGCAGTGTTTTCGCATGAAACGTGACTCTTGACGAGATACCCATCAGCTTAAGCTCGTTCCTGTGGGGCAACAGCGTGATTTACCCACTCATAAATCTTGCCGTGTCCAGACGCAAGAGGCTGGTGTGTATTGCCTGCTCCATTTCTTCCCGGGCCAGAATGCTGCTGGCCCTAGCCCTGTGAAGCTACTACACTTCCATGCACAGCCAAGCCCGTTTCAATCGGCGACAGCCCTTTTGACTCGATGGGGAATAGAAGAAACACAAGTATATCGTCATTGTCCCCCAATACAGAGTGTCCCTTCGCCACCATGAAACCTTTTAGATCCAGTGCCGACCCGCTCAAAAGAAACTTCTCCACAAGATACCGAGGCTCTCTTCTTACTTGACATGAAGATTGACCGATGAAATGAGGCTCAGCCGCCGACGAGATCGCCAAAGTATGTGATAGCTTAATCGCTTAAGACATTGCGAGGCCTTCAGCCTTGCTCTTAAGTAGTAGAAGTATTTCTTACGAGCTAGTCGGTACTCTATAACACACGTGAGCTGAATCTTTCGAGCAGGGGCGGCAGGAGCAGGAGCGGCTGCGCTTCCACGGCCAGGGGCTATGGCCGTATCACCCTCATTTGTCAACCCGTCGCCACGCCTGTCTTCGTCGGCGCCATCTTCCCTACATGGCTTGCCGGCTGCCAAGAAGAGGGGTACCATACTCCCGGCCATCCAAGACACCCAGGTGTGTAGTGGGTGCAGGAAGGGAACGCTCGGGGGGAGGGGCCACTCAGCTGTCTCCGGCATGAAACCACCCAAGAACGCTCTCCTCTCAGAGAATAGCTAGTGGATGAGAGGGGGAGATGTTTTGGTGTTGAAAACGCAGGGCAGGGAATGCAATGGTTCAAACAACGGCGGAGGTGATGTTGTTTCTGACGGGGATAGACGGGAAAACGAGGGAACGGGTATTGTGGTTCCAGATAGATAGTGGAAAGTAGTTGAAGGTTTGACTCGGGAGGGACGGAGAAAATTGAGGGGAGCAAGATTGCCAAGAAGGATTCTTCGAAGGAAATGTTGTTGACCATAACAAGAAGGGGGATTTTTCGAAGGATCGAAGGGGGCTGATCCTCCGGTATTAGTTCTGAACCACGGGAACATACTTCATCGGATTATTGCTTTCATCGCGTGAGTAGAGATGCAGAGATGGCCGCCCGCGCTCCCACCCGCTCCTGAGAGGGAACCCTTCTCTCAATTCCTCGTAGCGACCACCCCTCCCTCCCCGCCGCATACCCCATCCCTACCACCTACCCTTGACCTAGATCTCTCTGGAAGGCAGCCAAACGACCACTGTTGTCGAGTTCGATAGTGATGACCGCGCAAGAGGCAGCAGAAAGAGCGTGGGTGGCGCCGGCGGGACTGACCGCACCACTATCGGGCACGGGTACCGGTCGAGCCTTGGCGGGACAATCGTCGGCAGCAGTGGCCGTGGTGAGAGGGCGTCGGCGAGGCCCAACGTCACACATTTGGAAGACATTCGAATGTCTAGGGTGGTGGCGGATTGTGATTTCAACCCAGACGAACATGCCAACAGGAGGTCTTCCAGCGCCCCGGACCCTACCGCCGCCGCCGCTGCATGGTCAGGGGAAGCCAATAGCGGAGAAACCACCGCAGCTGCGTCCGTGGCAACCACTTCCACCCCGGTCGATCGAATATCGCGATCCACACCAAACTCGCCAAAGGGCTTAGCGGCGGGAGGGGAACGGACCTCAAAGCGAAGATCGCTCAGCGTGACCATTAGAAACCTTCTGGGAACCGAGGGCGGCCTCGACAAGCTCAGGGAAAGCCTCCAGGAGGACGAGGCAAACTCTGGCAAGGCCGCGGCCGCCGCCGAGGCGGTCAGGGCCGCGATGCGAAAAACTGCCACCGGCGGCGACAAGGGGACCGTGTCGATGCACAAGCACGAGGCGGTCGCGAGAGCCGCCGGGCAGGGCACGGCGGGGATGGCGGCAGCGAGGCTGACTTCGGGGCTGTTCCTCAAACGGCCATCCTCGGCTCCGTCACCGGCGGCAGCGGTCACGAAGAAGGCGTCCGTTTTCGGGGGCCTGGTGCAGACCCTGGTGGAGTCCAACGTGAGTTTTTTTCCGGTATTGCCAAGCCTTTTGTGCTGGTCTTGCTTTGCTTCCGGCCTTCTGGGTCCCATTTTCTGAGGCATGCAGTCTAGGTGCGGAGCCAGCAACAGAGGGTATAACGTCGCAAACCCTGCAGGGGGAAGAGCAATAAATTGGAATGATGCCGATTGATCAATATTGAGCACAGGTAGGAAGTTTTAGGCACAACTGCGGTGGGATTGACGAAAAGGCATAAGGTTATTTGTCGTAAGACAGTCCACCAGACGGTCGTGACCGCTCCGGCGTATCTCACTTTCTTAGGGACGGATATTTTTCCTGGAAATCACCATTTGTTGCCCTTGTCGAGCTCACGACCAAACAGAAAAGCAAGAAATGAGTGTTGCGACAGCAGCACTGAACACACGATAAATGGCAAACGATAACCACAATGGACGGGCAATCAAGTAACCGAACAATAAACACAACATATTTCGCCCAGAAACCACCCCGCGAAAAAACGAATCCTAAAAACCAAGCGAACAAACACCCGTGCCCGCCGTCCACCAATATGTTGGTTCTGTTTCAGAGCATGAATTGGCTGGGGACAGGAAAGGTCGCGAGTAACAATTCGGAAGAAAAGGGGGGAGACGCGGGAGACAGCGAGGAGGACACGGAAGAAAGTGGGCAAGCTCTCGAGGTGAGAAGTTGCCCCAATTACAGGGTAGGGCATGCTAGGGATAGAGCATAAGTCAGATCGCGCCGAACAGGCTACCAAGCACCCTGAACCCGAAGTGGCTGTATGGTGAGATTGGGTGGAGAATGAAAATCCTCGATCGTCGCTGTGGCAGCGTCGTCGCTAGTATGGTTCGTGTAGTCGTTGCTGGCGTTGTTGGTGTCGTATTTCCTCCACTGAGCTTGCCCTACGTATTGACTTTACGCAAAGCCCGCAGTGATCTACTGTACTACCTGAGAGAAGTATCTTACTCGGAAACCCAAGTGCCCACCCTCCCTTGCGCTCGCTAGCCCGGCTCAACCTTTCACCGAACCTTGACCTCGCCTTGCAATGATACTTTTCCGGGTCGACGGCGTCCATGACGATGATCTTCTTCACAATCTAGATCCTCCTGGTGGATCCGCAGGGCTTGGTTCGATGGGTACTCCCCCGACTCAAGGAACGAAGATTCTCTGTCACGGTGAGAAGAGACCAAGAGAGACACAGGTGTTGAACATGGGGGGAAGGCATCGTTGCACAGGATGGGTGGATGGGAGTGCAATGCACTCGCCGATTTGGGTTTGGGGGTTCGGGTGCTCCCTTTCATCTTCAAGGTCGGCGTTCTTTCGACGATGCGATCAAAAGCTTCAAACAACACGCGTGGAGCATCATCGCATGTCGCCGAGACGCGACCAATAGCAAGGGGAGGGGGACCGGACGGAACACGACAGCCGCGGCTCTTGGGATCGGTGTGTGGATACAAAGGCACCAGAAGCAGAGTGTGTGGTGGGGTGTATGCGCAGCTCTGAAACGGGCGCCACAAGTACCATGCTCGAAGGTTAAGAGGCTGGTGGGGGAGTTGCTAAGAGTTGGGGCAGGGGGAAGCTGCACATTCGTGAGCACCCAGTTTATTGTTCACTGACGTCGCAGAACCTTGCGGTTGACCGCATCCAAGAACTCTCAATAATCCAAACTCCTTCCCAAACCGCCACCTCCTAAGCAAGGCACACTTTGATCAACTTTGTGGAACCACCCCAGCATGCATCCTGCACGCTACTACCGAGATCTCGAATTGCTCCAAGGATTGGGCAGTCCCTATTTGATTCCACATGTACGATATGCTACTGTTCAGTGCTGCACCGTGGCACACCCACCTCGCCGCAGGAGGCAACAACACTCCTTGGGTAATTTCAGTACAATCTCGCGAACCGTTTGTGTTCGTTCGTACGTCTTGCAGGTGGCGCACTCAGCCGAAGAAGCGATGGACATGATCCTCGAGGGTTACTATCAGGTAGCCGTGGTGGACTTGCACATGCCGAGAATGTCGGGCACGGAATTTTGCCGGAGGGTGCGCGCCCATGAGCTCGAGGTGGCCGCTGCCGTTCGCTCCGTGAACATTAACGGTCGAGCGGGGCAAGAGGGAGAAGGGTTGAATGAGCCCCAGCCTTCGACGAAGCTGCTCCTTCATACCACGTCCGCCGGGAGCGTCAAGTTTGACGATCTGGAGGTTTGTAAACGAGGGTTAATTGAGGATGGAGGATGGCAGGGGGAGGGTGTCAAATCACGCGGTTCGATGAACCTTGCCCTTATTCGCAAGTACTGGTTGAGGGGAAAAGAAAGACAAAAAACAACAGAGGTTGCAATGACACATTATTGCCGGAGGGAGGGAGAACGGGGTCAACCAACCAAAGGCTGCTCGGGTTGATGTACGTGGGCGGTGTGGATGTTCGGGGTTTCCGCCGTCATCGGGGATGAAACGGTTTCAGGTCGCTTAGTCGCTACCGCCGCCCCCAACTTCAGCGTACGCACAATCTTGGTGTTGCGTTTCTCGCCAGAAGCGTTGTGGCTGGTACCCACACGGAATACTGTTCCGCGTTGCATTTCCTCAATGGCTCCGCCGCCTCTGCGCTTTCTCTCGAGGGCTTCAGGAGTGCGATAGGCAATCGATTCATCGCCGTTCGATACCCAAGAAGTGTTTAGTCCCCAAATCCTTCCTGCAGTGTGTCAAACTTGCACATTTCTGTCGGGTGTAGCGATATCATTAGTTTGTGGCGCAAAACTAAACAACACCCTCTCTAAAGGCTTCAAACACACCCTGCGATTAGGACAATATCGCGTACGGTAGTCTATCCGTGATTGTATGCATACTCCCAGAACCCCTATCTGTAGAGGAAAAGAAAACCCTTCTTGGACCAGCAACTGGGTACTTGTGTTACGCATGGCGAATGCTCTTGCTGGGCGCGGGTCTCAATCGCAGCCCAAATGAACCAGGCACACCTCTTCGGAGGTTCATCTTGGAAGTTCAACTGCCATTGGCGTTTTATTTATTATCAGGCATTCCTGGAGGAAGACCTTGTGGACGAGTACGTTCCCCACCCGCTAGACCTTGGTACCCTGTCCGACTTTCTCAAGCTATTCGAGGAGGAGGACGACCAGTACGGCACCCGGAAGATGAGCGCGCTGCTTGAGGGAGGCGCCGACAAATCCAATGGTGGGGATAGCACGAGCACCGTTTCGAAATACTGTCAGTCGCCACCCCATCCTCGTAGAAAGTGACTCACCACCAGCCTTTGTCTTCTCCAGGCAATGAGCCGCCCTACTCAGGCGCGGCGTGTTGTTCGTTTCGATGATGATGCCGATATTTCTCGATAATGTTGTTGTTGCCGTTGTTGTTGTTGTTGTGTTGTGGTATTTCCTTGTTCCTTGTTGCTTGTTGTTGCTGTTGTTGCTTATCGTGTCGAAATCCTTCGTATAAGGTAACTTGTCTCACGTGCCAGTAGAATTTGCATGTAGACCGGAACCATACAAGACCTACCCTGCTGTACGCTTTCTCTCTTGTGGGGCCTCTATCATCGACGAGGTTCGTCATAGCCTAGAATTCCAGCAACTATGCCCCCCTTCCTCCTGTGATGGCCTTACCGTGTTTTTTCTCGTATTTTATCCATTTCTTCGTCGTTCAGTAACCCTTGTCCAGTACTTCCTCCGTCATGTACCATCGATAGAAGAACGGAGCTCTATACGTCACGAAACCTGCCAATGGTACACAGAAAATGATTTCTTGTAACCTACGCCATCGGCCTTGAGGATTCAATATTCCGTACCATGGTCAAAACGGAAACATAATCCCATCGATCGGTCGAATCGTATGACATGAGCGGAAAATCGTTCCGTCCGCCCGTGCTACCGACAACGTAGCCGCGACAGGTGGAGATAGCGCAGGGCAGGCCGTTTCCGGGCTAGTCCGCAGCCTCAGTGGCAAGAACCTCGCAGGCGCTGATTTAGGCCCACAAGGAGGACCAGTGGAATCTGGGCCGGTGACGTTCGTGGCAAGGCTGTTCGGGGCAGGTCGAGCACCGCCACCGCCGCCGCCGTCCATGGAGGACGTAGGGTCGACGTTCTTTTCGGTGAAGGGCAGGAGCAGGGAAGCGCACGCGGCAGCCACGGCGGCGAAGAAACCGCATGGAGTAGATAGCGAGCGGGGGGCAAGCAGCACACGGACAGCGGGTCCTTGGAGACCAGGGATACCGGCAGTGTCGCCGGGGCTGGGGGCGGCGGGGGATGAAGGTGGTGATGGTGGTGTAGACGACCGAGGTGGTTGAATTGAACGTCGCCGGGTACGTGGCGTTTGAGTTTTGATCCACTCGGGGTTGTGTGTGTTGGATTACCCGGGGGCGACTAACCGTGTAAGGCGCAATAAATCAAAGGGCGAATAACACAAGGACATGGTCAAGATCGGGACACAAGTGGAGTACACGGGCAAGAAGAGCAGGTCGGCGGGGAAGACGACGACGGTGGTGACGGACGCGGAGGCCCTGTGGGCCATGCTCTACGCTGACGACGCGGCCATCGTCTCGCGCTCGCCGGAGAGTCTCGAGAAGATGATGTCGGCCATCGTGCGCGTGGCCGGCCTGTTCGGACTGCTGGTATCGGAGCCAAAGACGGAGATCATGTGCATGCTGCCGAAAGGGATCGAGGAACGTCCGTTTACGGTCAGCGCCGCCGGCCAGACGTACAAGCAGACAGATCGGTTTGTGTACCTCGGACGTACCATCTCCGCGGACGGGAAGGCCGACCGGGAGATCACGAGCCGCAGCTGCCGAGCGTGGAAGTGCTACCGCCGGAACAGTGCTTCGATGTACGACAGGCGACGGGCCAACCGCCAGCTCTAGATCCGGCTACTCCAGGCTGAAGTGGTGGAAAATCTCCTGTATGGGTGCGCCTCGTGGAGCCTAACAGCGGAGCACTACACGAAGCTCAATGGGACCCACCGCCAGTTCCTTACACGGTGCATCGGCTGGAGCAAGCGGAAACGCTCAGACCGCCCCCTGTCCTATGCCCAGGCCCTCATCCAGGCAGGCTGCGAGGAAACCATCGAGGCCACCGTGCGCAAACGGAGACTGTGTTTCGCGGGCTTTGTTATGCGCATGGAGGACAGCCGCCTCCCCAAGCGCATGCTGTTAGGAGCGATGGCGGGGGGCGTGGGATACCGGGGCGGGCAGAAGATCGACTGGGTGTCTCGTCTCGGAGAGGACCTCGTGGCCTTCAACATGGGAGACGAAAAGGAAGGGGGGAAATGGAAAGAGAGCGCCAAGGACCCGGAGGTGTGGTACAACAAGGTCGAGGACGGGGCGGCATGGTTCATGAGGAAATGGCACAGGCAGGAGGCGGAAGCGTCCGCGAAGCGCCAGCGCGCGAGGGAAGCAGAAGCAGAGAGTACGACCATCTCAGGACCGAAGAGAAAGAGAGTCGGGGAAGCGGCGGTGGGGGGGAAGAAACGGCGACCGGACACTGCTGTAGAAGCGAGAAGGGCGGCCGAGGCAGCACTTGTGGCGAACTATGTACCCGGCTGATGTTGTTGCGCCCTGTTTCCCTCCCTGCTGGATGCTATACTCCTTTATGTATGTCCTCTGTATTGCCTTCGGCCTCTGTGCTGTGTTTCTTTTTTCATGACCTCCCTGCCTACTCTGCTGTGTTGGGTAGCTTGATCTCTTTGGCTGTTGCTTTTGTTTTTGTACGTCTGGCTGTCTGCCCATCTGCCGCTTCTTTGTCCTGTTTGCTCCGTTACTCCCATGCCCGGGTGCGCAATGCCTGGTGCTGGTACGTTACCCTTTGATTTTTTCTTTAGGCGGGTGTGGGAAGCGTCCTCCTTTATTTTTGTTTTTGATTTATTTTGATCGGTTTCCGCGGGCTCGTTTCTCGAACGGTAGGTGCGGTACCTGTCATTTTGAGTTCTTTTTCCGAGTGCTTTGTACCCTACTTTTGCTTTGTTTTCCCGCGGCGTCGTATGTGCCGGGTTTTGAGACCACGGGCTCCCCATTTTTTGTGGACTATAGAACTATTGTGAGAAACAACAACATAACAAACAAGCGACGAAGTGTAGGTACAAGTATTGACTTTGCCTCGTTTGCATTATTTCATGTCGAACAATGTTACAACATGCCCTTCCCGTATTCTGACTTCTATCTCACGAAGGTGTTTTCTGACTCTGTGTGTTTCTGCGCCGTCGTGGTCATCCCGTTTCGTTGTCGTCACTCCTTTCGAGCACGAGTGTAGCCGATACTTGGGTCATGTGACCCAAGCCAGTAAAACGTTTCAGATCAGGAGGTAAACAAGTCCAAGTGGTCCGCTTGTCTTCATAGATCGCCAACGATAAGAGAGAGAGAAACCGATCCATGTTGTTTCGGAATCCCGGTACCGAAAGACACGGCACCAACGTTAAAGTGGACGGAAGCCGCGAAGGTAGAGGGGGGAGTACCCTGGCATGCGGCGGTGCTGCAGGGGGCTGAAAGGTTCACGACCTCCTGGCACGAGAAGGAAAAGAGGCCAGCCGACAACGGGCGCTCAAACGAAACCACAAGCCACCAACCAATGGGGCGGGAGGGGGGCAGGAGACGGACGAGACGGCGAGGGAA